GTGATTTGTCCTTGAGAAGCACCTTCAAACCTACACATTTGCTCATGTATAACTAGGTTTCCCAAATAAACAGGTAGGCTCTGTCCCAGTTGCTGGAGAACAGTAGCCCCCAGGGATGATACTGTGCTCCTGGGTTTTTGGTATTTGCACCTCCTTGCTCTACTCTCCATGACTTTGCCCTCCACTTGGAGGATAAAGTAAACTTTCTGGCATGGAAGAGGGCAGATGGGAGACCCCAGAGCACTCAGGAAGCTGACAGAGTAAATGCTTTATCTGTTTTAGCACCTTCCCCACCAGCAGGGTTGGAACTGAGTGGGGAAGCAAGGCTCCCAGGATGAGAAGTCATGGTTGCAGATTCAGTACCCCAGCTCACATTGCAAAAATCACTCATTTGACAAGAGCAAAAGCCAATGCTCAGAGACACCTGGGTGCCTGGTAGGCTACATGTGCCCAACCAAGCCTGTGCCCTGCTAGTTGGAGCTCCCAGTAGTTCCGGTTCAGCTGCGTTCAGAGACAGGTAACAAACAAACTGCTTGCTAACATCATGTTAGTTATTAAAAGGCTTCATGACATAATCCCAAAGTACATGAGAAACCATTCCCAGATCACCAGACCAGCCCAAGAAGCGTTGAAGTACACTGGCTTTTTATTCCATGCATTGTTTGCTTTGATAGTCATTCTTGTTTCCATCACTGTACACTGTTCAATACAAAAAAAATCAAGTTTGTATCAGGAATCCGCAGAGCAGGGAGGAGAGAGATGAACACTACTGGACAGGGCCAAGATGAAATGGTTACTTAACACGACAGTGGGGAAGGCAACATTCAGCTCTGGGAGAAAATCTAGGCTAGTGTTCAGGAGCTGTCAGCAGCCATGAGAACTGGATCAGGGTAGTCAGGGTGCTGAAAAGGGAACCCACGGTTTACTTCTGTCCTGCAAACGTGGTGTTACTGCAAGGAGGAAGCAGGCCAATTTACACCTCAGCCCCATACCCTGCTAGGAGAGAAAGTGCGAGGAACCACAGCAGAGGTGCCCATAGAGCAACGTGGAGACTGCGTCTATGTGCAGTTCTGGGTAGGTTTCACTAAGGAAAATGCCTATATAACCCCCTGCAGAACTGACAGCAACCATCCCAGGAATGCAGGGGGCTGCTGAGCCACCCCTGCCTGCACACAGCCAAGGGCATGAGATGTAGGTGCAGGGGGAGGCTGGGATTACGTCTCCACGGGTACAAGGTTACGTGTTTAGGCAAGGGGGGCAGCCCTAGTGGCAGTCCCAGAGGGACGCTGCATAGTAGGTAGCAGTTATGAGGAGCAATGCTGGACTGTAACAGTGCAATGACTCGGGCGTGTAAAGAAACTGGAGCCAAGTGTGGCAGCAGACAACCTGAAGGGTTCAGCTCTGTTCTTCCAGGCTGCAGAATGGGCCAGCATGTCCCTGGTGAAGGATGGGGAGGAATCGGCACACACCCAGGACAGCTGGCCCAAAAGGGTCCCAAAATCCCACACATCAAAGCTTCTATGCTTCTCCGCAAGCCCAGAGAGCATCATCACATGGTGGAGGAGCTCTAAGCAGACCACAGCTACCAAAAACCCCTCTGGGATCTTTTTGTTAGGGACTCAATCATTACAGACTGAAGTCCCTGCATGGAGACTTCAACAGGCCCGAGCCGGAGGCAGCTCTGCTTTGGGCCTGTTGCTGTAGGGCTGCCCTAAGACACCGGCACTGCCCACAGGCAGCGGGCACCACAAGGCCATGGGCTGGTTTGACGTCACGCTGCCCGCAGGCAGTGAACAGCCCTGCCTGTTGGAGCTCAGCAAGCCTGCCAGATCTGAGCAGCAGGGTCTCTCCAGGGGCATAAGGCTTGGCATCCTCTGGGGGGGACATTTGATAGTAGTTCTCAACCTCTTCATGCAATAGTTTGGTCTTCCTCTTTGTGTGCATATGTTATGTGCACACAGTTCTCCGCTGCTAAATGCCTGCACCCCAGCCTCCAGCCTCCTGAGTAACCATCTGCACCCCCTCTTCCGCACCAAAAGCCCTCTCACACCATGACAGCAAAGCCACCTCTGGCCCTGCCACCTCCTCCTGCCTCTGGCTGACAGACAGAGAACATTTGGGAGGAATGCGGGATGGGAAGAGAGAGGAAACAAGAAACAAGCCAGAAAAGAGCTTCACTCCCCTCCACATTCTGCCTCCACCCAGAGCTGAGTATTGCTGCTGCAGGCAGGGGTGAGCGGTCACTCCCTCTCCTCTCCAGCAGCCCGTCTGGTCCTGCACGGGTGATCCACCATGTGGATCCGCTGCTGGCCACCCCGATCTCATACCCGCTGCCCAGAGCGATTGCCTTCCTCTCCGCTTGTCCTGTTGGATGCTCTTGCCAGAGGATCTTGTGATGGTTATTCACTTTGTGATCAATTCAAAAGCCACTTGCTCCCTGATCACCATTGCCCACCAGCTCAGGGACTGCCAACTCTACCGGCAACATGAGGAAATTGTAGCAGTGACCACAAGGAGTATCACAGGGCCCAGGGAGCTGACTGCATCCATCCCTCTTGGACCAGCCTTGACAGGTTCTCTGCCCCAGAATAACAGCATCCTTGGAAATCATGAGAGGCAGCAGCTACTGACAGCCGCTGAGACCAGCTTTGCTCCCATCCCTCCCAGCGACCAGGGAGAAGGTAACATCACACAAACAGATTACAATTGTGCTAGCGGTGAAGCCAACCTTCTGATCGACAGAAATGATAATAAATAATAAAATAACATCATAACTTAAGATCTGTGTGTAGTCCAGCTACAAAAATTTAAAAATATGGGATAATTTAACTCATACAATACTGCTCTCTGTATAAGTAAGACATTTTCCTTCATTTTGCCATGAGGCTATAAATTACCACAGTTAAATTCAAATCAATATTTTAACATAAAATGTAAACAAACAAAACAACAGAAGTACCTGTCCATGGTCCATTCCTGCCGTTCATCTCAGGCTGGTGTGCCAGTGTGCAGAGCAGCACCCAGCAGTGCGGCCATGCGCCACGCACACGTGGCACAGCTGCGCCAGCCAGCACACTAGGAAGGGCAGAGCGAAAGCTCTTGCAGGGGGACATCAGCTAAGGTGGGGGGGAAACGTGCTCTATCATTTTGTTCTCTTTAAATATTGATTTAGAAGAGTAGTGTTTGAAGGGAAGGCACTATGAGTTCTATCAGAAAACAAATTTTTCTCATCTGCCAATGCCTTGGCCTGTCACATATCAGTACTATCCTCACTTTCACCTGCAGAGTTTCAGCTTGAAGGAGAAACAGAGGCCTCAGGGTACACCCAAGACACAGCTGTGCCACAGCCACCATCAAGATTCCCTGTGCAACCTGTTTTGCACAAAGCCTGACATGAAGGGCAGGCAGCTGTTAATGCTTTTAAGAACGTACAGTGAATAAGGAGACAGAGCAGGGCTGATGCTCTTATCTAGGCCAGTGATTCCCAGTCTTCCCCCTCAACACACAGCTCTCTGCTGGTTATTGATGCTGTTGTAGGTGAGAGACTGCTTCTCCAAGTCCAGTACAGGCATCTCCAGTTTCCTCCCCAGAAGAGTCCTCAGGCTCTGCAGAATGTGCTTTCCACAGTTTGCAAGTTCTTGCTTTTCCAACACTGATTTGATTGATTTCTCTGACTGACTGAAACAGACAGGAGGTAAGAGGAGGAAGTAAACTGGGAAATGGCACACTGCATCTGAAAGAGGTTTCCCTGCTCAACTGGAGATCGACACTGCCAGAGTGAAGCAAGGACGATGTTAAGAAGTGCTCTTATACCAATTCTTGAGAGGACGAGGTTAGAATACATTTGCAGGATCTCACAACAAAATGCTGATTAAAAAAAGAAACTAAAAATCCTTAAAATAAAACCCACTATTACATTCCTGGGGATGTGTCAACTCAGAAGACCCTGGATGTTAGCACCTCAGTACCAATTTTCTCCAGGAACATGTCCACCTTCTGATTAAAAATGACCCAGCTGGTTATACTGAATACGCTTTGTTCACAGGTTACCCTATAGTAAGGTCTTTTTATGCTTCCTCATTTGATAAGACTGAGTGGTTTAGTTTCCTTGATCCATTCTCCAATCTTCAGGGCCATGAGGCCT